TTTTCTGGTGACTTTTGGGAAAAGCAGAGTTTGGTTTAGTAGGAATCTCCTTTCTTTCAGTGGTAGCCTCAAATCATGCTTTCTTCAGGTGATAATTCAGCAGCTGATGCTATTAATCCACCAATATTTGTAACCTACAGTAATGACCGTCACCCCACTATTACACATCCGGGCACCACCAGCTCTCTCTGAGGGAACAGCACAGGCAGAGATGCTTCTTTTCCATCCACATTAATCTTCCTGCAGTGTGCTAAACCTCTGGGGAGGCCACAGAAAAGTTTGTCTTATTATCTATTTTAAATATCAATAATAAGTTGAGTTTTGCTGGGAACATGACAGAAGGATACCTGTGATTAACCAAAACCCAGAAGCACTGGTTTAATGATGGCACTTGAATGATTCTAAATACAGTCTCTTCTCACTGACAGTCTCTGGTATGTTAGAAGTGGCAGTCCCGGTTACCTGAGTCAGATCCTGCTTCCCAGGGCTGGTGATCTCAAACTCTAACAAGGTTCATAACTCTGTGAACTGAATACTGAACGCTTGCCACCTCACCTAGCCGCAACGTTGTCACATCCTGCACCTTGAGTGGCTTGCTCTGGGTGCTGTAGCTCTTTGGATGTGAAAGCCTGCAGTGAGCTCCCATGCAGCATGCAGATGGCTGCAGGGGACACTAATACACCAGCTCTGTGTGAGGTGACAGGGAAACTTGAGCTGAAAGACAGAGGGGTGGAGAGTCAGTGAAGATGAGGCAGAAGGCTTTGAGAAGGAAGTTGTATTATTTAATAGAGCTGAGATGAAACATTTCCAAATCAACTGTGCATGCTGGCAGAGAGAGAACTGTGATTTACTGCTGCTGTGTCGCACGCAGCACACGGGGGCTGGCTGGCCAAAGGGCCCAGAGCTGTGGCCAGTCAATAGGACAAGCCAGTACATCACACTGCAGAAGATTTACTCTATTCCCTGGAGTAAATATGTAAGGAGATCTCTCCAGAGAAATTGCACTCCCTGCAAACAGACGAATTTTGGGGAACCCCAGGCCAGCTGAAGCGGGATAGGATCTCTGAGATTACCCAGCCCAAGTCCTGCTTGAAGCAGGATGCTCTGGGCCATGGCCAGCTGCTATCAATGGACACCTGGTCTGGGGATGGGGGGAGAAACTACCAGGTTAGGTGACCCCAGGGAAGCTGGGCCAAGGCAGGAGGGAGGGGAGCTGTAGGTGAACAAGGAACAAGGTTGGGTACTGCTGCTCTGCCCCCACCTGCCTCTCCTACCTCTGCTCACCCAAGTTTCCCTCAGCAGTGAAGAGCAGCAGTGTTTCACCCCAAAACTAGCTCATCCCCTGGTGCCAGCCCCAGCACCTCGGGCTAGACTCAGGGCACTCAGCATTCTCCCAGCAGGGACTGGGGTGTCCTGATGCTTTCAGTGTCCCCCTGTGAATCCCACCCACCACAATGAGACCTGACGTGTAAAGGCAACCCTGGCTGGTACCAGGCTGCAGGTGGCACTCAGCCACTACCCAGCTTCAAAAACTCTGCTGCCCTTGTTTTTTTCCCATCGTTTTTGGCAGCCCATGAGAGGAGCGCAGCAGGGACACCTGCTCCAGCCCCAGCTTAGCTCCAATGCTGTGTGGGGCAGCTGACTCCCCTCTGACTCCTCCCTCCCTGCCCTTCCCAGCCAACCTGGGGGCTGTGAGTACCCCAACACCAGAGAAGCCACAACAGAGGCTGGCTCTGATTGTAGTCACATCTTGTGACAGTCCAGAAACAGGGCACACTGTTGTATCAGACATCAATGTGAACGTGGGATGTGGTGACAGCTGGCTGGGGACGCAGGGACCCAGCAGCCTCAGCTGTGAAAATGGCTTTGGGAAGAAGGAAAAGCTGGAGGGAGGCAAAGCTGCAGATGCCACAGCACTACCCAAGGGAACCAGAGGTACATGTAAACAGGTCAGGTGGGCGGCATCAGCTCTGAGCATTGTAATACAAACCCTGTACAGTCTTGGGGAACAGGACTAAAACAAACACAGGTCAGGGGCTCTGTGGTCTGGAATGCCATGACAAGGTCTCACCCTGCTCCCATGCCTTGTCACCAGGGACAGGGAGCTGGGCATGGGAAGTGCTGGTGATTCTCTCTCTATATGTTTCTCAATAGATTAAGCAGTGAACAGGCTGCAGTGCAGTGCCCAAAAAATGTAAATGTAAAAATAATTGGAGAATAAGCCTGTGACTGAGATCCTAGGGAAAAAAAAAAAGAAAAAAAAAAGAAAGAAAGAAAGAAAGAAAAAGAAAAGCCAAACAGAAACACCTTTAGAGAGAGATTTAGACTGTTCAGTCTGCTTAGCAGATCAAAAGGAAAACCAACTCTGCATAGAGGTGGCACCACAGGGAGCAAATACTAAGGGACTCCAGTGCCGTTATCTAGACAGTGCTCAGCACCTGTCTTCCTGCTGGTCTGCAGAGTGAGACAGCCCGGCTCTCTAACGCCATGCTCTCTTGCCGTAGCTCTGAAAAGCACCACTGCATCCTGACTTGCTACTCACAGCAATCCTGTAGTGCTTGAGCAGGAGCTGCTGCATCCTCAGCCCAGTGCTCCTCTTCTGTCTTTGCTTCCCTGCATCCAGGATGGCCTGACACTGTCCTTGTCATCGTGTAGTGGTGTGGCAGAGGCACCATGTCCCCACACTAACTGTCCCCTATACCATATACCCTGCTTCCTTCCTCCAGCCCCTCCTAGGGATTTGTTCCTTGCTCTTTCTGCTCGTGTTTCCTCGGCAACCTGAGCCATTCTCAGCTCCACGTGTCACCTTCATTATGAAGTCTAACTATATCCAGCCCCTCTCTGCCCTCAAACTGCTTGTGCATCTCCAACCACATCCCTGATGGGCCCCAAAACCCCACTGCTCCTTCAGGTGTGGACCTTCCCCACCTCTCCTTTCACCACCTTTGATGAGATTTAAGCAAGTACCACCTTTGGTGATATTTACATCTTAATGTCTTGTAAGACCGTGGGCAGGTCATTTTGGATGTGTGCTTCTCTTTCTACATACACAGCTTACTGCTCTGTAATAAGACACCCTGCTTTTCTTTTTGGCATTATGGATTCTATTAGCACTTCCATGGGATTTCACAGTACCCAAAATCATTGTGGGCTAGCTAAGGCAGAGGTCTCACTCGTCTGAAAAACAGATGGATCCTTATATCCTCCTGAAACCCAGACCCAAAGGCCTCCCATAAAACCGTCTAATCAAACAAAACCCACACGTCTCTCTAGAGGCTTCAGAGGGGATTTCTTGCCTCTTTTTCTATCAAAATCAAGATGCAGAAAATATTTCTGGTACTCCTGCAGTTAACTCTCAAAAGGCAAAAGCTTTCTGAATTTCAGCTCTATGCAGAGCTTCTCAATTATTTACATGCACGGGTACAGGGTAGGTCATGTATGTTAAGTAAGTGAGTGTTGTAAACCTGCCTTGGTGACCAGCTGATGAACAGGACAGCCCCACGCCAAGGCTGGTGGACTGGCTTATGGCAGATGCATGTGACTGTTTCCCCACAGATTTCAGCTGGTTGCTTGACAGGCTGAATGCGTCCATCTCTCCACTGGGAGAAGGGTTGAGATGCTGTTCATTTTGGGTCAAGTGATGTGCTGGAAATGAAACTGCAGCAGCTGAAGAGCCTGAGTAAGTTCTTGCAGGGAGCTCTGTGTGGGCAGGGGGTGGAGGGACAGCAGCTCAGGAGATGTTCCCTGGCAGGTCCCTTCAACCAGTCCAGCAGGGCCCAGCAGGGGACCACCAACATCAGAGAAAAAGGACTTTCTTTTTAAGCTTACCGTTAACTTCTCACCTACCCCCTGTGAACTGTAGCAGCCTTGAAAGCAAACACTTCACACCGTACACAAAGCTAAGGCCATGCAGCACTGTAGGGATGACTTCGGGTAAGATGCAGCACCACCCGGCCTCAGTGCCTTGGGGGCCTGGACCTGAAAATGCTCACAAAGATTTGGGAGCAAGTACTGCTGCTGCCTGCAGTTCAATTCTGCAGGTGGCAGAATCTGTTCAGCAGAAATCAATTCATCAGTAGGTGTCCTGTGATAGTAGCTGGAGCAGAGGGAAATGGGAGAAGGCAAAAAATTGAGTGTTTGACAGCAGAGTCACCAGCTTTTCATTATCCTACAACGCTGTCATGTGGATTTGGTGACAAGTAATCTGAACTGCAGCCACTCATCACCTTTACAAGCAATATCAGCCAGAAAGCTAAAACATAACCTGTCAGTGCACCATGATTAGCTCCCTCTCTCCCCTCCTGGAGATAAGCACTGCCACAGACACACATTTGCTGAGCAGTCTCCTGCTGCCAGCATCTATCTCTCCATCAGCTGTACTGCTGCTGGCTGTGATCTCTGTGTCCCAGACCAAAAGGCTACAGCTCTGTTAGAGGCACCTCTGGATCTCACAAGGATTCAATCATAGTACCTGCAGTAGGTCGGGTCTGGGTAACAGGACCAATTTCCACTCAGTCTAGTGGATTCAATTCCTCTGCCACACCGGGGAACACAGCCAGGGCAGCCCCCAGCATGGCATGGCCATGGTTCATCATCAAACTGGCTTTAGCCAGTTTAGTGGAGTTAGGACATTTCCCCATTAGAAAATAGCAACTTCTTCCTTATCCCCAGTTGATAATCAAGTCTGAAGGTATACCTTGTCACAAAACTGGTCTGTGTTTGGGCAGGGGACACTGAGACAGTCGGCAGCTCCGTGTAGCTGCATTCAGCTCTTCAAACAAATCCTTTGGAAGAAAGGGACACTTGTCCAGTGTGCCATCATCACAGAAACGCTCTCTGGTTTCAAACACATCCTATTGAGATCATATTCAAAGTTATCCTCACCCTTCACTTATTTCAGGCAAGCCCATGGGCTATTTTAGCTCATTTTGCTGGGCAATGCAATTTTGCAGCTCTAAAAGGTGACCCAAATACCCAAACAAAGGAAACCTTGAGAAAGATTCTGTTATTAAGTATCTCACCTTTTATTTTGTTCATTTACACTTCTGGCACTGACAATTCTTTGAAGATATTTATTTTCATGTAAAGACCAAACTTCATTAAAGCAATCAGAAGTCAATTGAATAATATTACATCACTTAAGGTCCAGAAAATGTACACCACTTTCATACATTGTAGGCTTGACTGGTTGCAAAAGGAAATGGCACATGTTTGGCATGGTTAAGAAGTAACTTGGACAGCCCAGCAATTAGTTTAGCAAAACCTGTTTTGTACTGAATACTGTAGCACGCACCCAGGGATTACAGTATGCCTGATGGCACTATGTGCATGTTCTTATTCAACATGGCATTATTACTATCCATTTGGTCTCTAATAATGTCTAAAATATTCTACATAGACTAAAACTGATTGGTGGTTTTGTAGGGGTGTGAGATTCATGATGGAAAGCAGAGATGTGACTTGTGCCACTTCCCAGTGATGCCCTGGACCAGCAGGACATTGAATGCATGGAAAGCATCAAGCATATGAATAATCTTATAGATTTCATGGGGACTACTTGAACACTTAAAACCGAACAGCTGGCAGGCATGCCCGAGGCAGGGCCTGTGGTATAATGCAGCATCCCAGCACCACAAAACTGACTCGTATCACAGCTGCTGAGGAGCCAGGAAGTTTCTCCTGCAGAAGTCATGATGATGGTCATACATTCAGTCCTCTCTAAAGTCTGTGTAATGTTTAAGGCAGCGAGAGACAATTGCCTTTATTTTAACATCTCAGAAATGAATGTTTCCTTTAGAAATAGGTGGACAGTATTCCTGATTAACCAGTGTGCCCCATACTGACAGAAACGCGATGGAAAGCCAAACCAAATTCTGACAAACTGTATTTCAACAGAAGAGAGGACTACAACTGGAGTTCAAGCTTTATAATTACACATGCCAGATCATTCACATATAACAAACCATCGAAGGACAATGCGAAAAAGTGGGGATTTAGATGAAATCTGTATTCTCGAGGCCTGATGGTGGTCGAACTTCCCATGGTGTGAGTGAGCTCTACTGAAGCTGACGAGTGAGCACCTCTGGTGAAGAGGTGTGAGGAAGGTTTAAAACATGCTGCTGGTTCACACTAACAGGTATTGTGGCTAGAGTATATTCTCATATACAGAACTCTGGAACACTATTAACACCCATTTACAAAACACTACAGTGATGGTTATTGGCACATAAAAAACTCCTCCTCTATATGAAAACATACACAAAATAGATAAGAACTGCCATTTTTTCAGACTTTTAAAATCTATATATAGTTGCCTTTAAGGAGTTTTAACCCCCAGTATCACAAACAACAATATTTCTTTAACAATGTTCACCTAGATTTTACTGTGCTGACATTTGTAACACTGCCACAACCTAGACCACTCTGTGGATTATGCTTAACTGTACTGTACACAAGGTGATGGAGATCCATAGAAAACCACTAAGATTTTTGCACAAAAATGTGACTCATTAAAATCCAGAGAATGACTGAGTCACTTCATAGGCAGCAGCTACATGTAAGCTGTAAATGGTACCCGCAATAAAAACACATTTTGCCATAAAGCACATATTGTGGCATTATCTGCTTCTGGCCTGGTACACAAAGCTCGGTTTTCTACCCAACGCAGAGGAATGGGTTTGGTTAGCTTGAGTCTCTCAGAAAAAAAGTGCACAAACATCTTACTCTTTAAAGTGCTTTGCAGAACTGCCTCTTCTGCCTTGATTTCTACCCCGAGATCTCTGTACTGTGAAGACTCTGCCTCTTTCTCCTTTTCTCTCTCTCTCAGGTAACAAACCCTTTTACATAAGTACAAGTAAAATGTCAAGAAGTCCATGTTAGAAGAGAATTGATGTTAAGCAGAAATCTGGGTATAAAGCTGACAAATACAGGGTCCATCTTCTACTAGCCTACTGTGTACCTGTGGGATTGCGCCCAACACCCTCATGGGTGAAGGAAAGACCCTTGCTCAGAGCCTGTAGCAGCCCCTAGCAGCCTAAACAGTGCTCAACACAAGCGACTAAGAAAGGCAAAAATTTCACCTAGGTAACAAGCACTAGCTTTGCAAACTCCATTGCCACATTCTCACCTCTGTGTAGCACTTGTGTGCTTCTCCCCCATTAGTCTGTCAGTTCTCCTTCGCTCACCCACAGGACCAAGGACAGTCCCTTGTTCCCACCATCCTTCTCCCACATGGGAGACAAGCTAGCGACTGCTCCTCTCAGCTATGACACCGATCTCTACTGAAACATGACTCTGTGGGGGTTTTAACATGTCATTTCTCTCTTCCTGCCTCCCAACCCTAACTCCTGCACCAGTGAAATGTTAAATTTACCAATTCATGCCAAAATAAGTCAGAATGACGATTCGCAGGATGTATCTGCTCTAGTCCCAAAATTTCTGACGGGGCTGTCACTGCAACTCGCAAGGCAGCAACATCTACCATCTGTCTAAGGTGCATACATAGCAATGCAGTTCAGCTCTCCAAACGAGTCCTGGCCCTTGCTTTGTTTCTATGTCTATTTTGCAAACAGGTTTGTTTCTCTTGTTAGAAGATGACTTTGATCAGCAAAGTGACATAGGGAAGAAAGAAGTGGCAAATTATCTCAACGTCTCCCCAACACTTTGAATTTCAACATGGTGAGCAAACTACTATATATGAATTAATGTGAAATATATTTTAAAAGATTAAAAATGCCTCAGGACTTGTTTCCTTTATCCTTGCCTTTAGATCACAACGTGAAGAGTCGGTAGATCAAGCAGAACTGAAATACCTCAGTGTTGTGTATAAATATGTCCAACTCTGCCAGCATTACTCCAGCACTCCTGATGCAGAGAATACCTGAATTAAGTGTGCAGTCCCTGTGAAGAAACGAGTGCGCATCTTCTGCAGAAAGCTTTCAATAAAATGGTATTGTGCTTAGACACACAATTTACTTCAGAAATTAAAATCCTGTCATAAGAAATTATTCAGCTACACTGTAGTTTTATTCTTTTATCTGGAATGTTACTAAGTCTACCTTTAGCAAAAATCTCTTAAAACTTAAAATATGCACAAATATAAAAATCTCTGCAAAATAGAAACATTTAATTTTCTTGATACACTATAAATTTTCACAGATTCTAAAAATAAAACCCTAATTGCTAAGACTGATTTGAAGTATTTGATCTCATTTGTATTACACATGATGCTTCCGTACTAGGTTCAGCGTTTCTAAGGTATGGAATGTTGTCTTGGGGTAAAGCAACCCTAAAAGGAAAACTTAAACCCAACTCTGCAGGCGGGAAAGGGGGAGCGACAATCAAGAACCTAATTTATTTTGCACCCTCATAGCCAATAGCAATGATGAATAAAATGCACGAGTTTCAATCATTTTGCCTTGAGGAAAAGGGGAGGGGATGCAAACCTTCAGAAAACTGCTTTCAGTAAGACTGAACTCGTGTGAGAAAATGAGCCCAGTGCTGTACACAACCGAGTGCCACTTCTGAGCGCATCTGTGAAGCAGGGCTGGCAGAGAGAGATGGTCTTCTGCTGCTAAAAACCCCCAGCACTGCCTGCAAAACAGAAAAGGCTGATCTTGTGATAGTGATCTTTCCAGTGACTTTCCTTTGGTTATGCCCAGTAAGTGCAGTGGTTTCCTCTACCTGTGGACACAAGTGCAATGAAGCTTGAGGTCAGCATTAACACTGTGCTGGCACAGGGACAATCCCCAGCTTGTGCCCTGCTCCAGCAAACACATCAAGCAAGGGAACGTTCATAGGTGTAACAGTGAGTGTGGGCTTGTGATTTTGGGGGGATCAGAACCAAAAGTCCCTGTTCTCAAAAGCCAGTAAACACTCACTTAAACCTATGAAACATACAAGCACAGGTTGGGTGTTACACACTTATTCATGCTGTTCTGGGTAACAAAACTGTTCCAAAATAGGATCTTCAAATACACATTTGTTGGATTTAGGAAGAAACAAATTTGCCCTTAAAACTGTGCCAAGTATCCCTTTTTCTCATTTCACATACTGCACCTTCTGTGAAGGTTTCAAAGAGGTGACAGCCTAACAGAGGCATCCCATGGCGGGTGCATTTGTAGACAGGTCTGGAGACCTGAGTGTTTGCAACAGCTTGTGCTCTCAAGCACAGAGATACTGTGCGCTTCAAGGGCAGGCAAGATGGAAGGTGTGAGAATCCAGCCCCCTCACTGCTCAAGCTGATGTTTTAAGATCGAGCCACTCTTGGCAGCGATTCATTTGAAATTCCCTCTGTCCACCATGTTTGCCCCTTTTAATCCCAGTCAAGTCACAGAATGCTTTAAAAGGTTTTCTCTCCAAAAATATTTCCTCAACTAATGAAGTAAAAAAGACAGTAACATAAAATACAGCCAGTTGCTGAAGGTCAGTAACTGGAGAGTAAGCACACCCCTCACAGAAGCTCAGATAACATAATGTCAGAGTTCTTTACAACAAAACCCAACGTTATCCAATTAAAGTAATTTAGTAACAAATGTCCGGTCTCAGTTTTGATAGTAATACTACATTCGAAGTGTTTTTCAACCGAAGACAAGCCCACAGAGCAGCTCTATAAAAGCTAATGAACCAAACAACTTCTTTAACCTTTACACAGTGAAAAATGACTGTATTCTTTACCAAACAAACGGGGGGGCAGCCCACAGGCAGAGGAGGTTTTCCACATTCTTTCATGAAGCAAATGTTTCAAAGATAAGAATTTGAACTGCTGATGCTTTCAAACTCGTATCTCTGAAGGCTTAAAGCAGCAAGGGCAACATCATATTTTTATGTAACTGCGTAAAATTCAATTTTCCAAGGCAAGCAATCACGGCAGGTGAATAAAAACCCATTCACATTTTCATTACCATGCTAAAGGCAGCCCAGTTGATTTTTGTGCCTGACATTTTCTTGACAATTTTGCAATGCTTCAGTAAGGCAATTAACATGAGATGTAGGCTTCTGCCCACTGCTAATATTTCTCTTTAGATCCAGCGAGACACTGGTTGACTAAGGGCATTTGAAAGAAGAACGTGCTGGGATTCGTCTACTCTGCACATATGGAGATAAACTGAAGGCAATACGATTACTCACGAGCAAAAGGTGCAGGAGGGATGACCACTGTGCGTTTAGCAGCACAAAACACCTCCCCTCCTCCTCTTTCATGGTAGTTTGTGTTCAAAGCCAGGCACAAACCCAAAGGTTCAAATGCAAAAAAGAAATCAAAATTAATTTTTTCCCAGTTAACTGAGGCCTCCATGTTGTACCCAGCCATAAACACCAGTCCATTTGTACATGCAGACACACGCTTAGCTCTGTTTTCCTCCTGTTGGGTAGTTAATTTTGGCAGCTTCTCTCACAAACACTAACTCCTGACTGCAGTGTGTACTTGAGAGCAGCAGTGGCAAGATAACCTGGTGTAACACAAATGTCTGCTACCCTAGTGAAGCTCCCCTCAGGCAAGTATAGCTCTCTACTTGTTATCTCAAATAAATGAAAATGGAAATTCTCTTGGGGCAAATCTGGTAAGTGTTCCCTCCATAGACACAGCAGGTATTTGTATGTTCTTAATCAGCTACACCTTTTCAATGGTTGCCACTGCAGCAGCTTATGCACTCGTCATCTGTTGTATTGCACAGCAGAGCTGTTTCCCAGGCTGCTGTGGGGTGGGGATCCAACAAACGGCTGCCTTCTGATTAGCCACTCTGTACCCCTTGTCAGTACTGAAGATAAGGACCACCACTGACCATCTAGGATAGCCTTCTTTATTCATCTGGTGCAGTGCACCCTACTAACTACCTCGGGATGGTGCAGTGTTGCACACACATGGTGAATTCACATAATTGTGGAATTCAGTCTCTTTTGGAAGCCATTGCTTTGAGTTATCAAGAAAACACTAGCATTTTGAATACCCTCCCAAATGGAGCATTTTTGAACATGAAGGCATTTTTAACTAGACAGTAGAAAGGAGAACCAGACCAGAAGCAGGGCAGTGAGGTCATCAGAGAGCTGCTTTTCCCCCAGAAGGCTTTTAAATGATTAAATACACCAGCAGCTGAAAATTATTCCACGTCAGAAGCATCATTGTCAGAAAGATGGTAATTACTTCCCTTCACCCGAATATATTCAATATACCTCCCTTCATCAGAATCCGACATACCACATGTACATAGCCTGTTTTCAAACAAAGACTCAATTTCCTCTAGTTTTTTCCCTTTAGTCTCAGGAAGGCAGCCATAGATGAAAACCAGTCCCAAGGCAGCAAACCCTGCGTAGAGGAAGAAGGCTCCTGCAATGTAAAACAGTATGCACAGTCAGTTTCAGAAGCCAGTTCCTGTCCCTTCTCTGCTCCAGAGCAGAGGGAGCAGCAGAAGCAGCAGGCTGCGGATATCCAACAAGTACGTAAAAACAAAGCTTGGAGCCTTACTGCATCGTTCCATAACAGAGTAAATTAACAAAAGCAATTTTATTTCACATGGAATACACACCTTTTCTGGGCAATCCATTCTGCTCTTAAAATAAACAGCAATTAAACAACTACATATCAAGTCAAGAGCTCAGTTTATCTTAAAAGTGAAGGACACACTCAGAGAGCCCCCTAAAATGAGAAACTTTAGCAGAAAAGAAATGGCCAGGATTAAAATAATACTTGTGATGCTTACATCTAATTGTTACTTACAATTCCTCTGCAGGGACAATTAGCACTGAGAAGGAGCTTGTTCCCACCCACAACCCACCATACCTAGGGGGGCAGAGAATGTACTAGAGGACCAACAAACATTTATCTGCCATGTGTTTCTAGACTGATGACTCAAAAGAACGACAAGTAGAGCTGAAATGCCCTGTACTAGCAATGATGTGAAGGTCACAGCAACTCCCTAGCAGTTTAATGTAATTTAAATGACTTGTACCGGAGTGGCTGAGCAGTAATCTGACAAACCCTCCGCATGCCCCAGCAGACAAGACTTAATCAAAAGCTGGGAGTGGGGCGACAGCATCTCAGAAAGGTAATTCTGCAAGGACCATCTGATACCGATCTTGGATACCGTAATAAACTGGGAAAATGCTGTCTCCTGAGTGGGAATTGGCATGTTTCACCAGGTCCAAAGCAGGGGTTTTTCCAGCTTCCCAGTTTCAATCAACTGTTCAGGTTCCCAGTTAAGAAATGCTTCTCATGAAAGCTGGACCAAACCATATGATCCAGGCAGCTCCTATCTTTAGTAAGATGCATCTCTAGTCTTACTAAACCATGGTGGGTTGAGAACATTGCATTCACACTTGACATTTCACAGCAAAACCAACTAAGCGACCCAGAATCAGTAGAAAAGCTATGTGCCAATGGTAGTACTGCACTCATGGACTCATGCTGTTTCTTACCATAGTATGTCAGGTATTCAGCTGTATGCAGAAACGTCAGTGACACGAGCACATTGAAAACCCAGTTGACTCCAGAGGAACACGCATTTCCTGTACTCCTAGCCCAAAGTGGGTAAATTTCAGAATTGACAGTCCAGGGCATAGGACCCATCCCTGAGAATTAGAAAAAAAAGGAAAAACCTCAGTTTAATGGCTAGACCCCAAAGTAAATTTATCATGGAGCCTCAATATTTGACATTTTACCTTTACATTTTTTAACTTGTATGTGAAAACAAACGTTTGCTTACCAGGTGCAAAGAAAACCAAGTACAAAATAAGGCCCAGAAGTGCTGTCCAAGAGTATGGAGTGGGGCAGAAATTGTATGCCCAAAACAAATCTTCCTTTTTGAATGCTGTTTCATTTGAACACCTGAAAAATAACAAAAACCCTTCATATTAAATAATTTTCAAGGAAATAGATGACATTTCAATATAAATAGGGCTAGTAATAGAATCATAGAATCACAGGATTGTTTGGGGTGGAAAGGACCTAAAAATATCTAGTTTCAACCCCCTGCCTTGGGCAGGGACACCTTACCCTAGACCACATTGCCCTAGGCTCTGTGCAGCCTGGCCTTGAACACTGCCAGGGATGGAGCATTCACAACTTCCTTGGAGAACCCATTCCAGTGCCTCCCTACCCCCACAGTAAAGAACTTCCTCCTTATATCTAACCTGAACTTCCTCTGTTTAGGTTTGAACCCATTACCCTTTGTCTTCTAAAAGCTGACTAAGGTACAATTAAGATGAAAAATGTAATCCCTGCTATTTTGTCAAGGTCTTTGAGCCTAAACCAACATTCAAAAATGTGCTTTTTCCCAAGCCTGGTCTTTGGAAGCATAACCAGCAGAACGCTCCTGAATTTAAACACCTGCCTTTTACCTACAGATCTCCTCCAAATGACTAGTCTTTACTACGCATGAAGTCATACAAAAGCTAAGACCATTCACATGAATATCACACAAAGCAGAAAGAGCTGCAGCAGCAGGGCTTCAAGCTAAAAATGCTGCGTGCAAGGATCTAAGGTCAAATAAAAGTTAGTCCTTACGTCATTGATGAATTAACTATATGCTGCACACTTTGAATGTAATCAGCAATGCTTATGGAATGTGCCAAGGTCAAGTGAAGTTATAAGGAGAAGAAGCCTATGCTTTCTTTTCTACACAGTGAAATCATTTAGAAGAAGTGTTTCTAATTAGACAGTAAAAATAAGAATCAGACCAGAGGTGAACCGAGCCTGAGCTACTGCAAGAAGAAGTGTCTCTATTGGCAAGGACTTTGTGGAAATGAAATATTTTGAGGAATAGGTATAACCACAGGTACTCAGATTGAGTGCCAATAATATTTTAAATATTTTAAAGGAATACTGGCTACTTTTTTTTTCTTTTCTTAAATTAGCATTTGTTTAAAGGGACCACAAGTCACAGCTGTACCTAGAGAAACTTTTCAGCTGCAACCACATCAATTGCAGACATCACCCTCTGATATGCAAACAATGTTATTTACTTGAAGAGAAGACCTCAAAGAGAGATGAACATCTGTCTGGGTTATGATTTACTGGTCAATTGAGAACTTACGTGAAGGATATGACCCTCTTGACAGCAGAAGAAACAGAATGAAGATGCCTACAACGAATGACAGCTTGGCAACAAGTGGTGACACTGTGGAGTAACAGACACCCTGGCATGTTTCAGAGGAGCTACCACCACTGCAGTTGAGTTTCAAAAGCAAATTCAAAGAACCCACTTCTCTAAATGTTCTGTTAAAAAATAGCCAGCCAGCCCAAGGTTGAACAGGAATATGCTAAGCGCTGATGGCCAACCCACCATTAGGAATCTTCCTTATGTTGGCATGGATGTACCAACAGGACAACACGTAAAGCAGGATATCACTGTGAAGTCCCAAACCTGATCTCAGGACAGCTGGAAATCCAAAGTTCAAATACATTTAAAAGAGGGAGATTAATCCAACAGATACTGCACAAACATACACCAAACCCCAGCCAAACCCTAATGCTACTTTGATGTCAGTAAGCTGCAAGATCTGCAGTTCCACCTTGCACTTGAGCAGCAATTGACCATGTACAGTCAGCACTCTCTGGAGAAATGGTGATCCCTTGATGTGTTGCCAGCAAAGCAGCCAGTGCTGGTGTGCACCCTTCCATCCTGCTGCAGCCCTGCCTTGCCGAGCTACCCCACAAAGCCCCTGTCATCCAGCGCATACAGATTCACTTTCAGTCTGGAGATGAAATGCACGTAGAAAACAGGCCAACTGAACATCCCTCTCAAAGATATGTCCCTCAAGCCCAGACACAACCAACTCCTGGCCTCACCTGCCGGCTGGCCACTGGAGCACCCATCAGCATAAGACACTAGCAGCTTCCATGAAAGATCTTTTTCACCTTTTCTTAGCCAAAAGTACTTCTGCCATCTTGCCACTTCTTCATCTTGCTTCTAAGTATCCTCTCGGGTTCCTCTTTCTGGTACTTTGCTCTTTAATAGCTCAGTTCTACATCTCTTTCTATGCTGAGTGCAAGACATGGATCATTCCCTGTTAGCGTCCACCCTGATGCTTCCCTACCACTCTACAAACTCCTCACTGTGTGCAGGTTAAACCATATTTGAGCTGTGTCCCAGGTCTAAGATGTATAGAAGACTGAACTGTGCTGGAGAGCTATCCATGTTTAAAACAGAAGTTCCTTATATATTAAGGAAACAATGTTTGAAAGATTAATTACTGTAGACCCTGTTGCCACCTCCCGCTCAGCCCTGCATAGCTGCCCACTCTGCACCTGCACCACTGACAGATCACAGGATTGCTCCACTTTGACACCATTTTCATAACATCAGTTTCCCTTCTATCGCTGTTATTCTAATCTCATTTGCAGGTGTTTGGTAATGAATACACACTGATTAGCATTTTAAAACATCACTGAGATTGGCTCCTCCATTCTGCCCAGCCAGTCTGGCAGCTCCTCAGAGAGGAGCCTTATGCTTTCTCTCAAATGCTATTGTAAACAAAGATGTACTTGGTTTATTATCTTGCATCTATCTCCACCAGTGCAAACCAACCTGCTGATTCATACAGACACAACCACTGAGAGGTCTGGATTTTTCCTTCCCTACCATGTTTTGCCCAGATGCATCCTAGTTTGATGGAGTGGAACACAAATGATACAAGGGAAAAACAGATGTCCCCAAGGCCTCCTATGGCTGAAGCCACACGTCTGTCCTCTGCTGTCTGCCCATAACTGAGAGGAAATTCTATTGCAAGAAAGCAGATTCAATGCACTGAAACAGGAAAAATAGCACAGGAGACTAGATGTAACAGAAACTTTGTAGTAATTAACTGTGCTTTGCTTATCCTTCAGTAGTTAACCAGCATGGTACACAGAATAAAAGCAAAGATACTTGCATTTGCTGGCATCTTGCAGTGCTGTGTATGTTCAAAAATAACACTCCTCCAAGGCTGGGGATCTGTTCAAGCTCTGTTACTGTGCTAAGTCTATTGCTATACTTTTCTATGAGATCTATTATTTTGCTGAAGAATATATTCATAATTACTGAGCAATGTGTTACCAGATAAAATTCTGAGTTTTGTCCTTCCTGAAGGGATCATTTACAATGGAAAGTGGACGAGCAGCTACCCAAGCTGAAACACACAGAGGAAAATGCCCTTTAAAGAGCTTACAAGTGTAATGATGCAGTCAGATACCAGTGCAAAGAGTCTGTAAATACCAATATGCTGAGTAACAGTCACATCAGTATAAACAGTGAAGACACACCACATCATTTCCTCTGAAATTACTGCCAAAGTGAAAACATGACAGCGATACACTGCAAATCTTTGCCATGAATTTCTTTCATCGCATATTCTCCACAGAAAATTTCAGATGAACATCTGTTCTCATTAGTGAGAACCTGACCTTCCAACAACTGATGCAAACAATTCAACTGACTGGAGGTAAATCTGAGCAGCAGTAGATTTCTAAGTTATGGGAATTATATGCTTGTTTCATAATCACAGAATCCATGCTTTATCAGATATGGTTCAGAAGATCTAAAGCTTTGCTCCCCACCTCCTTCAGTTACCTTCATATGGCACATAAAAGAAAGTAAGAGAAAAAGAGCTGCTGCAGGCCACCTAAAATGTTATTGCTAATAGCAAGAGGACAAAACAGGATAAGACCATTTCCTTGATCATCAATCTAAATTTTCCTAATACCTGAGCCGATTTGGCTGTAGAATAAGTCTGAAGTGCAACACTGAAAACCACAGAGAGGGAAATGGCTAGTAGCACCAGCAAGTGAGCACAGCACAAGGCAGAGACCAAATTGATTTTCTTCTCAAATTTCCATAAGTTTTGCTTTGCTGCAGAGTGAGGACTGTGTAGCTTTTGTGGATTAAATGTTTCATTCTGAACAGTTCATATATCTTTAATGTAAAAGCTGCTGAATTCTCATTGTCTTTTATGCTCTTCAGACACATCTTAAATGGATTTAGATCAAAAGTCTTAAAAGGTCAAAATTCAAATGAAATAGGGCTAAGGAAATAAATTATTTCTAAAGAAAATCACTAATGTGATCATTCGTCTCCTTAAAATGCCTGTTAGAGCAGGCACGTTGCAAAATTACACATTTTGCTCCAAGATAAAATTTCACATCAGGCGCTGATGGTACAGAAGGATTCCAGACCTAAATCAGTTTCCCTAATTCCCGACTTCTTTGTTGTAACAGGAGTAAAACCACTTAAGGACTGCTCTTGTGCTAGATTTTTGTGCCTGGGTTATCCAGATGACGATAAACTACAATTTATCAACTTAGTCTCCAGTTTAACACAAATACATTGGATTTTTAAAAATCTTGTTAAAGAGATTTTTAGTCTCCCTTGCAGAGTGATGACTTTTATATCATGCCAATCCAACTTAACACTATAGGTTTATGCCAACACTATTGACTCATCTTTCCACCTGAAGCCTGGTAATGGAAAGGACAGAAGACCAAACATTCATAATTCAGAGTTGCCATTGTTTGGTCTGAGAAAGGCTTTTGTGGAAGATGCATGGGAACAACTAAGATTATTTACCCACTCATCCTGTGGAGGAATCTGGACCTTGACACCTGGGTTAGTTCTCACAACTTCAAGCCCCTCTTTTTCTGCTATTTAGTTGTTTGAAAAGACCCCTAACTATCTTTAAATTATTTACAAGACAGAATTTAGCAAGGTACCAGATTAACTCTGTAATAATTTTGGGATATACATGCATCTTAGGAGAACTTTGGAAAACGCTTCTATCCTGTCCATCAAGTGGCCTCTCTAATCCACACATATACATTCAAAATAATTTACATTAGCACAACCTGTAGAAACC